ATCTGAGGTTTCGGATTCATTTCACAGAGCGGGTTGTGAGAAGCTTACTTGTTTATGCGACCACGCCCACCTTTCTTTGCACCTCGGAAAAGTAAACTTTTTGGATTTTTCGACCATTCTACAAAAGCTTACGACTATTCTCGGAACCTTCACTCCCAAATCTTAGATATTGGGTTCAACCGAATTTACAGACTACGTGAATTTACGTGAATGCCAACATGAACTATTTAATAAAATTATCACTAATTGTTGTGTTAAACTTATTAAATAGTTTCATGTTGGATATGGCTCAATCTACCAAATGCTGATCCTGCAAAAGGGTGGTGAAAGAAGGTGATGCAGGTGCAAATGGATGTGACAAGTGTGATGGATGGTTTCATCGGCAATGTGTTGGGATCACTGCGGATGCTGTGTCAACTATGGGCCGCGTTCGTGGATGCTTTTGTTTTGTGGTGACTGCCTAGAGGGTGACGTCTTCAAATCCGAAGCCTAGTTTGAACTTGTGACAAGGAAACATGAAGTTTTATATAATTTTTTGAAAGATATTGAAGATATTTTTGATTTTATTTAAGATCACGGGCTCGACTACGTCAAAAAACATTCCAAACAATAATACCCATTCTAATTCAACTATTCCGAAATTATAATTGATGGTATCTCTGAAGACAAAGGTGAATTCAGGTCTGATGTTGAAGCAGAAGAGGCCAAGGTTTCGGAAATACTGGAGTATATTGGCGAGTCAAACGTTAACATAAATCAAATGTCTAGACTTGGTAAAATTAAATTCTCAGAACGAAGGCCACGTCTCATACTTTTACGCCTATCATCAGAGTGGGATGCTCGAAAACATCTAGCTAAAGCGGTTAAACTCAAGAATTTTTAAGATAAAGTTTTCATTTCTAAGTCGCTCAACAGAGATGAACAAGCTGTGAACATAAAATTCTCAAGAAACGATTTGAAATGATAAATCATGACCAAATACCCCGTAATGATTTAAAAATTTGCGGCCTCACTCATGAAGGAATTGGAGGAAAGGTCGAGTTAGACTGACTACAGCTAAGACTATGTCTGCTTAACGTACAAAGCTTGATAAGTGTCAGCCAGTGTTTTGAAATCCTCAAATATCTTAGTTTACATTCTCCCGATGTCGTCTTTCTCACAGAGACCTGGCTGAAACCTGAAATTACCAATCCCGAAGTTTTTCCATTAAACTGTCCTTATTCTGTTATTGCTCGGGTTGATCATGCTTGTGGAGAACACGGAGGGGTTCTCATCGCCCTTAAGAACAGCTTTGTAACAAACTACTCTATTCTTTCTTACAATGCAGACTATATAATTGGTTTATCATTTTATTCCGGATATCATAATCATGTCTTTTTCCTTGTTTACAACCCCCTGATACATCTGCATACAGAATACTTATCAATTCTCTAGTTGAATGCATTCGTTATTTCAATACTAAAGTAGCATCTTTATCTTGCTCATACACACTCATGGGTAACTTCAATTTGCCCGACATCTGCTAGACATCTTTTTCTGGTCGTTCGCTTTACTCTAATTTGTTTCTTTCTACTATCGAGGAACTCGACTTATTACACCTTATTTATGAACAAAATCATCGATCCGGTAACACCCTGGACCTGATATTGTCATCCCATACTGAGCTATTATCAGTTTTCCTTGACAATAAATTATATTCAGACCACTTTCCCGTGTTTGCTTTCTTTACAATACCCAAATTAACACTGAGTACCACTGGGCAAAATTTAAGCTCTCAAATTTCGAAAGCCTCATTCTCTTGTTCAGTTTTCAATAAAAACATCAGCCCATGCTTTGGCAATCTTATTGTTACTCAAAACTCGACTTTTGGCTCCTTAAGTATCAAACTTTATGTACGTCACTGGTATTCTGAAATTATGGCAGTAATAAACTTTGCTAGTTGTAAAAAGACCAAAAGGCGGCAACAACTTCCATATTTTTATTCGTCCCACTGTTCATCTTTTTGACAAACATCGAGCAGCTTCAAGGCTTAATAATAACAATCTACGTCTCTCTTCATTGCAATACGATATTGATCAATAAATTGAACTCAATAAAACATGCTTTTGATCGAGTACCACATCATATTCTACTAAGCAAACTTCAAACTTTTTGGATTTTTCGACCATTCTACAAAACATTTTGACTATTCTTGGAACCTTCCCTCCCAAATCTAAAATATTGGGTTCAACCGAAATTACAAACTACATGAATTTACTTGAATGCCAGCATGAAACTATTTATTAAGTTTTTCACTAATTGTTGTGATAAACTTATTAGGTAGTTTCGTGTTGGATATGGTTCAACCTACCAAATGCTGATCCTGCAAAAGGGTGGTGAAAGAAGGTGATGCAGGTGCAAATGGATGTGACAGGTGTGATGGATGGTTTCATGGGCAATGTGTTGGGATCAATGCGGATGCTGTGTCAACTATGGGCCGCGTTCGTGGATGCTTTTGGTTATGCGGTGGCTGCCTAGAGGGTGACGTCTTCAAATCCGAAGCTAAGTCTGAACTTGTGATAAAGAAATATGAAGTTTTAAATGATGTTTTGAGCGATATTAAAAACTTATTTAAGGCCACAGGCTCGACTACGTCAAACAGCATTCCAAACAATAATACCCATTCTAATTCATCTAATAACGAAAATATAATTGGTGGTACTTCTGAAGACAAACGTGACTTCAGGTCTAATAATGAAGCAGAAAAGGCCAAGGTTTCGGAAATACTGGAGTACATTGGCGAGTCAAACATTAAACATAAACCAAATGTATAGACTTGGTAAAATTAAATTCTCAGAACGAAGGCCACGTCCCATACTTTTACGCCTATCATCAGAGTGGTATGCTCGAAAACATCTAGCTAAAGCGGATAAACGCAAAAACTTTCAAGATAAAGTCTTCTTTTCTAAGTCGCTCAACAGAGATGAACAAGCTGTGAACATAAAATTCTCAAGAAACGATTTGAAATGATAAATCATGACCAAATACCTCGTAATGAGTTAAAATTTTGCGGCCTCACTCATGAAAAAAATGGCGAAAAAGTCAAGTTAGACTGACTACAGCTGAATTTATGTCTGCTTAACGTACAAAGTCTGACAAGTGTCAGCCAGCGTTTTAAAATCCTCAACTATCTTAGTTTACATTCTCCCGATATCGTCTTGCTCACAGAGACCTGGCTGAAATCTGAAACTACCAATCCCGAAATCTTTCCATTAAACTGCCCCTTTTCTGTTATTGCTCGGGTTGATCGTGCTTGCGGAGACCACGGAGGGGTTCTTATCGCCCTTAAGAACAGCTTTGTAACAAACTACTCTATTCTTTCTTAGAATGCAGACTATTGAATTGGTTTATCAATTTATTCCGGATATCGTAATCATGTCTTTCTTTTTGTTTATAACCCCCCTGATACATCTGCATACAGAATACCTATCAATCCTCTAGTTGAAAGCATTCGTTATTTCAATACTAAAGTAGCATCTTTATCTTGCTCATACACACTCATGGGTGACTTCAATTTGCCCGACATCTGCTAGACATCTTTTTCTGGTCGTTCGCTTTACTCTAATTTGTTTCTTTCTACTATCGAGGAACTCGACTTATTACCCCTTATTTTGAACCAACTCATCAATCCGGTAACACCCTGGACCTGATATTGTCATCCCATTCTGAATAAACAACAGTTTTCCTTGACAATAAATTGTATTCAGACCACTTTCCCGTAATTACTTTCTTTACAATACCCAAATTAACACTGAGCACCGCTGGGCAAAATTTAAGCTCTCAATTTTTGACAGCCTCATTCTCTTGTTCAGTTTTAAATAAAAATATCATCCCATGCTTTGTTATTCTTATTGTCACTCAAAACTCGAGTTTTGGCTCCTTAAGTAACAAAATTTATGTACGTCACTGGTATTCTGAAATTATGGCAGTAATAAACTTTGCGTGTTGTAAAAAGACCAAAAGGCGGCAACAACTTCCTTATTTTTATTCGTCCCACACTGTTCATCTTTTTAACAAACATGGAACAGCTTCAAGACTTAATAACAACAATCTACGTCTCTCTTCATTTCAATACGATATTGATCACTAAATTGAACTCAATAAAACATCCTTATTTGAATTGTTATCTCCAAATTCGACTCGCCACTGTTTTAAATATCTGCGCTCATTTACTAGAAAACGACTACCAAATCAAACGCAGTGGATAGACAAATAAGCTACCAATTCTTTGGAAATAGCCAATCTTATGAATGATTACTTCTGTTCTGTGTTCCTACCAAGATGGAATTCTGCTCTATATGCACATGACAACCCTTCAATTCTAATAATCGTGCTTCATATAAGTGTTATTCAAATTGAAACGTGACTCGCGTCAGCTTCAACTACATGTTTAACCTATGACAACCTTCCAACTTTTGTTCTTAGCAACTGCAGCAATATTATCGCGCCACTTGTCGTTCAGCTTTTTGTTAATGTCTTAAATGCCCCAAAATGGCCTACACTTTGGAAATGTGCGTACATAACACCCATCTTAAAAACTAACAATCCAGAAAATGTCGAAAATTACCGCCCTATCAGCATCCTACCTCAATTATCGCTGATTCTGGAGAGAATGATTTTTAATTTTATATATCCTCGAAAGAGACCAAACATTACTTCCGTGCAGCATGGTTTCATGACAAAACGATCAACCGTTACCCATCTTCTTGAACATCCTGACAAAATTTATTCAAATAATGAGAATAATCTTGAAAATCTTTCAGTATACTTCGATTTTTGCAAAGCTTTTTATCGAGTACCACATCATATTCTGCTGAGCAAACTTCAAACTTTTTGGATTTTTCGACCATTCCACAAAAAATTTTGACTATTCTCGGAACTTTCCCTCCCAAATTTGAGATTTTGGGTTCAACCGAAATTACAGACTACGTGAATTTACGTGAATGCCAGCATGAAACTATTTAATAAGTTTTCCACTAATTGTTGTGATAAACTTATTAAGTAGTTCCATGTTGGATATGGCTCAATCTACCAAATGATGATCCCTCAAAAGGGCGGTGAAAGAAGGTGATGCAGGTGCAAATGGATGTGACAAGTGTGATGGATGGTTTTATGGGCAATGTGATGGAATCACTGCGGATGCTGTGTCAACTATGGGCCGCGTTCGTGGATGCTTTTGGTTATGTGGTGGCTGCCTAGAGGGTGACGTCTTCAAATCCGAAGCTAAGTTTGAGCTTGCGATAAAAAAACATGAAGTTTTATATGATGTTTTGTACGATATTAAAAATTTATTTAAGGCCACAGGCTCGACTACGTCAAACAGCCTTCCAAACAATAATACCCATTCTAATTCATCTAATAACGAAATTATAATTGGTGGTATCTCTGAAGACAAAGGTGACTTCACGTTTAATGTTGAAGCAGAAGAGGCCAAGGTTTCGGAAATACTGGACTATATTGGCGAGTCAAACATTAACATAAACCAAATGTATAGACTTGGTAAAATTAAATCCTCAGATCGAAGGCCACGTCCCATACTTTTACGCCTATCATGAGAGTGGGATGCTTCGAAAATATCTAGCCTAAGCGGAAAAACTCAAAAGTCTTAATATAAAGTTTTCATTTCTAAGTCGCTCAACAGAGATGAACAAACTGTGAACGCAAAATTCTCAAGAAACGATTTGAATTGATAAATCACGACCAAATACCTCGCAATGAGTTAAAAATTTGCGGCCTCATTCTTGAAAGAATTGGAGAAATCGTCTTTCTCACAGAGACCTGGCTCAAACCTTAAATTACCAATCCCAAAATCCTTTCATTAAACTGTCCTTATTCTCTTATTGCTCGAGTTGATCGTGCTTGTGTAGACCACGGAGGGGTTCTCATTGCCCTTAAGAACAGCTTTGTAACAAACTACGCTATTCTTTCTTACAATGCAGACTATTGAATTGGTTTATCAATTTTTTCGGATATCATAATCATGTCTTTTTTCTTCTTTACAACCCCCCTGATACATCTGCATACAGAATACTTATCAACTTTCTAGTTGAATGCAATCGTTTTTTCAATATTAAAGTAGCATCTTTATCTTGCTCTTACAAACTCATGGGTGACTTCAAGTTGCCCGACATCTGCTGGACTTCTTTTTCTGGTCGTTTACTCTAAGTCCTTTCTTTCTGCTATTGAGGTACTCGACTTATTACCCCTTATTTATGAACCAACTCATCGATCCGTTAACACCCTGGACCTGATATTGTCATCCCATACTGAACTATCAACAGTTTCCCTTGACAAAAAATTGTATTCAGACGACTTTCACGTGTTCGTTTTTATTACAATACCCAAATTGACACTGAGCACCGCTGGGCAAAACTTAAGCTCACAATTTTCGAAAGCTTCATTCTCATGTTCAGTTTTCAATAAAAATATCATCCCATGCTTTGGTAATCTTATTGTTACTCAAAACTCGACTTTTGGCTCCTTAAGTATCAAACTTTATGTACGTCACTGGTATTCTGAAATTATGGCAGTAATAAACTTTGCGTGTTGTTAAAAGACCAAAAGGCGGCAACAACTACCTTATTTTTATTCGTCCCACACTGTTCATCTTTTTAGCAAACATCGAACAGCTTCAAGACTTAATAATAACAATCTATGTCTCTCTTCATTTCAATACGATATTGATCAATAAATTGAACTGAATAAAACATGCTTATTTGAATCGTTATCTCCAAATTCGACTCGCCACTGTTTTAAATTTCTGCGCTCATTTACTAGAAAACGACTACCAAATCAAATGCAGTGGATAGACAAATAAGCTACCAATTCTTTGGAAATAGCCAATCTTATGAATGATTAATTCTGCTCTGTGTTCCTACCAAGATGGAATTCTGCTCTATATGCACATGACAACCCTTCAATTTTGTTAATCGTGCTTCATGTAAGTGTTGTTCAAGTTGAAACGTGACTCGCGTCAGCTTCAACTACATGTTTAACCTATGACAACCTTCCAACTTTTGTTCTTAGCAACTGCAGCAATATTATCGCGCCACTTGTCGTTCAGCTGGTTGTTAATGTCTTAAATGCCCCAAAATTGACTAAACTTTGGAAATTCGCGTACATAACGCCCATCTTAAAAACTAAAAATCCAGAAAATGTCGAAAATTACCGCCCTATCAGCATCCTACGTCAATTATCGCTTATTCTGGAGAGAATGATTTTTAATTTTATATATCCTCGAAAGAGACCAAACATTACTTCCGTTCAGCATGGTTTCATGACAAAACGATCAACCATTATCCATCTTTTTGAATATCTTGACAAATTTTATTCAAATAATGAGACGAATCTTGAAAGTCTTTCAGTATACTTCGATTTTTGCAAAGCTTTTGATCGAGTACCTCGTCATATTCTACTCAGCAAACTTCAAACTTTTTGGATTTTTCGACCATTCTACAAAAATTTTTAACTATTCCCGGAACCTTCCGTCCCAAATCTGAGATATTGGGTTCAGCTGAAATTACAGACTACGTGAATTTACGTGAATGCCAGCATGAAACTATTTAATAAGTTTTCCACTAATTGTTGTGATAAACTGATTAAGTAGTTTCAAGTTGGATATGGCTCAATCTACCAAATGCTGATCCTGCAAAAGGGTGGTGAAAGAGGGTGATGCAGGTGCAAATGGATGTGACAAGTGTGATGGATGGTTTTATGGACAATGTGTTGGAATCACTGCGGATGCTGTGTCAACTATGGGCAGCGTTCGTGGATGCTTTTGGTTATGCGGTGGCTGCCTAGAGGGTGACGTCTTCAAATCCGAAGCTAAGTTTTAACTTGTGATAAAGAAACATGAAATTTTATATGATGTTTTGAACGATATTAAAAACTTATTTAAGGCCACAGGCTCGACTACGTCGAACAGCATTCCAAACAATAAGACCCATTCTAAACCATCTAATAACGAACTTATAATTGGTGGTATTCCTGAAGACAAAGGTGACTTCACGTTTAATGTTGAAGCAGAAGAGGCCAAGGTTTCGGAAATGCTGGAGTATATTGGCGAGTCAAACATCAACATAAATCAAATGTATAGACCTGGTAAAATTAAATCCTCAGATCGAAGGCCACGTCCCATACTTTTACGCCTATCATGATAGTGGGATGCTCGAAAATATCTAGCTATAGCGGATAAACTCAAAAGTTTTAAGATAAAGTTTTCATTTCTAAGTCGCTCAACAGAGATGAACAAGCTGTGAACGCAAAATTCTCAAGAAACGATTTGAAATAATAAATCACGACCAAATACCTCGCAATGAGTTAAAAATTTGCGGCCTCACTCTTGAAAGAATTGGAGAAAAGGTCGAGTTAGACTGACTACAGCTGAAATTATGTCTGCTTAACGTACAAAGTCTGATAAGTGTCAGCCAGCGTTTTAAAATCCTCAACTATTAGTTTACATTCTCCCGATATCGCCTTTCTCACAGAGAACTGGCTCAAATCTGAAATTACAAATCCCGAAATCCTTTCAATAAACTGTCCTTATTCTCTTATTGCTCGGGTTGATCGTGCTTGTGGAGACCACGGAGGGGTTCTCATTGCCCTTAAGAACAGCTTTGTAACAAACTACGCTATTCTTTCTTACAATGCAGACTATTGAATTGGTTTATCAATTTATTCCGGATATCATAATCACGTCTTTTTTCTTGTTTACAACCCCACTGATACATCTGCATACAGACTACCTATCAATTCTCTAGTTGAATGATTTCGTTTTTTCAATACTAAAGTAGCATCTTTATCTTGCTCATACACACTCATGGGTGACTTCAATTTGCCCGACATCTGCTGGACATCTTTTTCTGGTCGTTTACTCTAAGTCGTTTCTTTCTGCTTTCGAGGTATTCGACTTATTAACCCTTATTTATGAACCAACTCATCGATCCGGTAACACCCTGGACCTGATATTGTCATCCCATACTGAACTATCAACAGTTTTCCTTGACAATAAATTGTATTCAGACCACTTTCCGGTGTTTAATTTTTTTACAATACCCAAATTGACCTTGAGCACCGCTGGGCAAAACCTAAGCTCACAATTTTCGAGAGCCTAATTCTCATGTTCAGTTTTCAATAAAAACATCAGCCCATGCTTTGGTAATCTTATTTTTACTCAAAACTCGAGTTTTGGTTCATTAAGTATCGAAGATTATGTACGTCACTGGTATTCTGAAATTATGGCAGTAATAAACTTTGCGTGTTGTAAAAAGACCAAAAGGCGGCAACAACTTCCTCAATTTTATTCGTCCCACACTGTTCATCTTTTTAACAAACATCGAACAAGTTCAAGACTTAATAATAACAATCTACGTCTCTCTTCATTGCAATACTATATTGATCATTAATTGAACCCGATAAAACATGCTTATTTGAATCGTTATCTCCAAATTCGACTCGTGACAGTTTTAAAAGTCTGCGCTCAATTACAAGAAAACGACTACCAAATCAAATGCAGTGGAAAGACAAAAAAGCTACCAATTTTTTGGAAATAGCCAATCTTATGAATGATTACTTCTGTTCTGTGTTCCTATCAAGATGGAATTCTGCACTATATGCACATGACACAATTCTGTTAAACGGGTTTCATATAAGTGTTGTTCAAGTTGAAACGTCATTCGCGTCAGCTTCAGCTACATGTTTAACCAATGACAACCTTCCAACTTTTGTTCATAGAAACTGCAGCAATATTATCGCGCCACTTGTCGTTCAGCTTTTTGCTTATAAAACACTCATCTAAAAATTTACCAATCCAAAAATCGTTGAAAATTACCGCCCTATCAGCATCCTACGTCAATTATCGCTTAACCTGGAGAGAATGATTTTTAATTTTATATATCCTCGAGTGAGACCAAACATTACCTCCGTTCAGCATGGTTTTATGACGAAACGATCAACCATTACCCAACTTCATGA